GTATAAAACCTAGCGCCAAAAGATGGGACTTCATCACTTTTTCTCTTCGTGTGCGTATTGTAGGTCCAGTCAAGTACTGTAGTAAATGTAGTACTAGTAGTGACTGGTCCGTGTACTAGTATGGCGAGTTGTAGAGTTGTATTACATGTATACTAACTGTAGTTTGAACGTTTGGCTTACAAGATGATGTGAGGCAGTGAAAGATACTCATGTACAGGGTTTTGGCTTTGGGTTCGGTTGGGATGTTCGCTGGTTGAAATTCTCCGATGGTTAAAACAGATGTAGCCTCCATTCCTCGCGAATGATGCAGGTCCTCTTGTCGGTAATCCACGACTGAGAATAGAGAGACGCGCAGGTTTACACTGGACTGAAAAGGTAGGCAAGATGTCGATAGGATCTGTCTGGACCGTTCTGAATTGAAACTATTTCAACTGCCCGTGCTCCAGTACGTATAGTCCGAGACGTACATGTGTACTTCGACATGCACTACATCACTGCCTAGTGCAAGCTGTTTAGAACACCTAACATTGCTCCAGAAAGCCACTCCATACTTTGCTTCTGGAGACCCTACCAAACCTCTCTTAGCTGCCACGATATTGGCACAATTTTTCTCCACTGCCGAATCCCCAAGTAACTCCTCATGACCCAATCTTGCTCCAGTAGTGGCGAGGAATCAGACATTCACGCTACCAGAACACTACCATGCCATACTCTGCTGCGCAGTGACACTACCAATCGTGTCCTACCGCCGTACCTGCCACGATATTGGCACATGTTTTCTGAACTGTCAAATCCTCAAGTACAATGTCATGCACAATGTAGCTCCTCGTGAGCGAATCTTGCTCCCGTAGTAACTGAGGTCGCTGTTCTGTCGTGTTCGCCATACATTTCTAGCTCTAGCTCGACTAAAATTAATACTTTCTTTAGGCTTCTAGTGCGTGGCCGTAGATCTACGTTCAACAGCTCCAAATCGTTCACTACGTGTTGGTGTAAAATTCGGTGGCATCGGTATGTACAGATGGTGGTAAATAAAAACCGTCAACACCTTCCTAGCACGGGTCTCAGATAATGATAGCAGAGTAAGACTGGGTACAAGTACAATCATTGTACAGTCATGTACATGTAGTTCAAGTACTTGTATTAATTTTCGTTTCTTTGCCCTGTGTTCACGCGACTCGAATAGCTGCCGTCTGTGCTACTGTATACGAGATTGAGGCAATATTGGCCAGGGCTGAGAGCTAGAGGTGTAGTGGTACATGTACTAGAAACGTGATCATAATCTCGGTATGTGCTCGAGTTTAACTCTTTTTTTTATTTAGGCAATGGGAACAGTTTGCGGCCGGCAGGGTGGTGTCATACATTGTAGTTTCGGTTGCTCAGTGTCACTCCTCCGTGTGGAGGGTATTCCCCCTCGTCTACCCTTAATTTTAGACACAGCAAGCTAGCTGGCTACATAGACACAGCCCAGAAATAGCGACTATTGCGTGCACAGTACAAGCAAAAGTCGCTAGTTCTGGAGCTGTGTGAGACTATCCACAGGCCAGGAGGAGGATAGGAGAGCCACACGCACACGCAGTCCAATCATCAATGACATCATGCATCTCCAACAAGGCCAAGGGTTCGTAGCCATGCAACGACCTTGGAATAATGCCGTGTGCCATTCATTGTAGGTGTACCTGTGTGTGTGTGTGTGTTATGTGGACTGCCTAGCTGGATCCACCGCCATCACACAGCGATCGACGGGAAGCCAGAAACAAGGTAGAGTGCCCGCCGTTGGTGCTGATTTTCCGTCTGTATTCTTTTACTGAATACACTGAATACCACAGGACCATCAGATGCTGCACAGCGGGGGCGGTGGCATATTGGATGGAAGTCACGGTGGGGGCGGGGCAGAAGTAACTCCTCCGACCAAAGCATGCTGTATGCTGTACGCAGCACAAACGTGTGGTAACGCCTTTTTTTCTTTCTTTTTACAAAATACACAACTCACCGGCAGGCACGTGGGGCTAGCATGGGGGTGAGATGGTGCTGGTGGGGCTTGCCATGCTCACGCTTTACCAGTGGACAGGGTACACATACACGTAATACACAGCGCTGCTCAGGGCCCTGTTCAGCTCGCAGTTCTTACCAAGACATACATTGTATTCTCCCCGAGGCTCTCGTTCCCTTAATTAACTCGCGCCCGCGTATAAAACCTAGCGCCAAAAGATGGGACTTCATCACTTTTTCTCTTCGTGCCCGTATTGTAGGTCCAGTCAAGTGCTGTAGTAAATGTAGTACTAGTAGTGACTGGTCCGTGTATGGCAAGTTGTAGACTTGTATTACATGTATACTAACTGTAGTTTGAACGTTTGGCTTACAAGATGATGTGAGGCAGTGAAAGATACCCATGTACAGGGTTTTGGCTTTGGGTTCAGTTGGGATGTTCGCTGGTTGAAATCTCCGATGGTTGAAACAGGTGTAGCCTCCATTCCTAATAATGCAGGTCCTCGTGTCGATAGTCCACGACTGCGAATAGAGAGACGCGCAGTTTTACACTGGACTGAAAAGGTAGGCAAGATGTCGATAGGATCTGTCTGGACAGTTCTGAATTGAAACTGTTTCAACTGCCCGTGCTCCAGTACGTATAGTCCGAGACGTACATGTACATGTACTTTGACATGCACTGCATCACTGCCTAGTACAAGCTGTTTAGAATACCTAACATTGCTCCAGAAAACCACTCCATACTTTGCTTCTGGAGACCCTACCAATCCTGTCCTAGCTGCCACGATATTGGCGCAATTTGTCTCCACTGCCGAATTCCCAAGTACCGGTAACTCCTCATGACCCAATCTTGCTCCAGTAGTGGCGATCGCGAGGAATCAGACATTCACGCTTCCAGAACACTACCATGCCACACACTACAGTGTACTTTGCTGCGCAGTGACACTCCCAATCGTGTCCTACCGAGGTACCTGCCACGATATTGGCACATGTTTTCTGAACTGTCAAATCCCCAAGTACAATGCCATGCACAATGTAGCTCCTCGTGAGCGAATCTTGCTCCCGAAGTAACTGAGGTCGCTGTTCTGTCGTGTTCGCCATACATTTGTAGCTCTAGCTTGACTACAATCCTTTCTTAAGGCTTCTAGTGCGTGGCCGTACGTACAACAGCTCCAAATCGTTCACTACGTGTTGGTGTAAAATTCGGTGGCACCGGTATGTACAGATGGTGGTACATAAAAACCGTCAACACCTTCATAGCAGCACGGGTCTCAGATAATGATAGCAGAGTAAGACTGGGTACAAGTACAATCATTGTACAGTCATGTAGTTCAAGTAAGTTTGCACGTCCGCGTTACAACCGGCTATACAATTGCGTTGAGAAACACAACCAGCTTAGGAAGTTTCGCATGTGCCAGGCCACCACCATGCCTGTGCTACCAGGGTGGCAGATGCAGCGCCTAACATGTAGTTCAAGTACTTGTATTAATTTTCGTTTCTTTGCCCTGTGTTCACGCGACTCGAATAGCTGCCGTCTGTGCTACTGTATACGATATTGAGGCAATATTGGCCAGGGCTGAGAGATATGTACTAGAAACGTGACTATAATCTCGGTATGTGCTCGAGGCAATGGCAACAGTCCGCTGCCATCTCACTCTCACTGTCTGCTTTCGCGGACATTTCACTCTCACTGTCTGCTTTCGCGGCCGGCAGTGTGGTGTCATGCATTCTAGTTTCGTTTGCTCGGTGTCACTCCTCCGTGTGGAGGGTATTCCCCCTCGTCCTCCCTTATAGACACAGCAAACTAGACACAGCCCAGAAATAGCGACTATTGCGTGCACAGTACAAGCAAAAGTCGCTAGTTCTGGAGCTGTTTGAGAACGAGGTTATTCGCACTAAATCACAGGCAACAAGAAGGAGAGCCACGCGTAGACCTACACGCAGTCCGGTCATAATGCATTTCCATCAAGGGTACGTAACCATGCAACAACCTTGGAATAATGCCGTGTGCCATTGTAGGTGTACCTGTGTGTGTGTGTGTGTGTGTGTGTGTGTGTGTGTGTGTGTGTGTGTGTGTGTGTGTGTGTGTGTGTGTTTTATGTGGACTGCCTGGCTGGATCCACCGCCATCACACAGCGATCGACGCGAAGCCAGAAACAAGGTAGAGTGTCCGCTGTTGGTGCTGATTTTCTGTCTGTATTTTTTTAATGAATACCACAGAACCATCAGATGCTGCACAGCGAGGGTGGTGGCATATTGGATGGAAGTGGGGGCGGGGCAGAAGTAACTCCTCCGACAAAAGCATGCTGACTGTATGCTGTACCCGACACCTTTGTTTGTTGGTTTGTTCGGTTTCATGTTAAAGTCGCAGCACAAACGGGTGGTAACGCCTTCTTTGATACAAACATGTGAACGACTTGGCACACAAAGGAAAGTCTTGGGGAAAGAGGGGAAGGAACAAGTCAAGAAGAAAACTTTGGTCATAGCAGAAACTGCAGTATACAGGTGTAGAATGAATTGACCAGTTTACTGTCAAAGAAATACCCTGGCCACGAACATCACCTAGCCCTTCATTATGATTTCACCATCGTTCAATTGTTTAATTGTACTGAAATACATGCAGGAGCATCGGAAGGCATTCTACATTGGTGTGGCTATGAAAAGGCAGGGTTCCTGGGTAGCCCCCCCCCCCCCACCCGGGGGAAATGTTGGGTAAATTGTCCCTATAGTGGGCCCAAAGAGTCCATATTCCAATGCTTCAAAACCCACAGGATTAAACTACTGGTGCAGCTTTGGACGCACCTGATGCACTGGTTCCGACAGGCCTGATATGCAATCCACACTCAGGGAGAGTTGCGGCAGCTCGAGAGAGTGCTCCATACACGTACACTGTACATGCAGAGCATTATAGGCTATTCAGACTACGGCCAAAATCACGTCTGAACTCGAATTTCCATGGTGATGCAGTCCTGTTTCAAATGATTTTGCACAATCGCTGATCAAACACGTCTGAGTCATAGAAACGTAGTCACAGTTGGCCGTGGTCTGAAATCGCCTATAATACACATAGAAAAAAGAAGGAATCAAAAGCGTTTCTGCTGTAACCCTGAATTTCACAGTTTTGAGATCGTCAGACCAGATTGAATACAATGTTCTGAAGGCGTGACTGATATAGGCTGGCAGTAAGAGTGGGTAGTATAGCGTGGGTACTGGGTACTAATATAGCATGGGTACTGGGTACTAAGATAGCATGGGTACTGGGTACTAATATAGAATGGGTACTGGGTACTAATATAGAATGGGTACTGGGTACTAATATAGAATGGGTACTGGGTACTAATATAGAATGGGTACTGGGTACTAATATAGAATGGGTACTGGGTACTAATATAGAATGGGTACTGGGTACTAATATAGAATGGGACTGGGTACTAATATAGAATGGGTACTGGGTACTAAGATAGCATGGGTACTGGGTAATAAGATAGCATGGGTACTGGGTAATATAGCACCGCGTGAATAATACATGTCAATAGTGTAATGTGCACGTGTGCGAGCTGGGTGGGGTGACATAAACGAGGCGCTAACAGGATATACTATAGGCTGAGGTGCAAACATGCATATGGTCTTCAAGTTCCAGAGGGAGGCGAGGAGAAATGACAGTGGTATTGCCAGCGTCAATCACCAGCATAAAAAAGCAGCGTCTCGCCTGCGAGGTGTGACAAGTGCATGTGAGGCCTGACGGTGAGAATTGTGAGAGGCGATACTTGTTATCATGGCTGTACTTGCGGACCAGCTCAGATCTCTTGCTGATACAGGTGTTGTCGTATTGACCGCACGCCTGCCAGCTTGCATGATGGCATCCTCAGCTGCTTCAGCTAGAGCTGATTGAATGCTAGTTACGGAGTATGCAGAAACATCACAGAGATGAGATTTTTTAATCAAGCTGGTGGATATCGATTGACAGTCAAACAAGCTGTTAACAGTTTACCTCACACACTGTGAGACGTGTGTTTACATGTATGCCGTTCAAATTGTGCAGTAAAACAACAAGCACTAACGAACACACAAATCCACTTTCGCCACCATCACCTAAGAAACAGCAATAGCACCAGCAGCGGGCGGCGACGACGACAACAACAACAACAACCCCATTGTGACATACAATACACGTGCACATATAGAACGTAAGCATGTGCACATACGCGTGTTCCAGTGTCTGAACACGTACATGGGCGAAGTAATATGTGGCTTTCCATTCACGGGCACGGCGAACCAGACACATTTGTGTGGACACATTCGAGAGGTTAAACTGCACGTCATTTTGATGTGACGCGAAAGTTCCGCTCGCGATATTTGGCTTGTGTGTTGGAAAACAACACGAGCGAGCTTCATCTCACGTCCACATTTGGCGTATTACGCCAAATTCGACCCATTTGACGTGAAATCGCGCGTCACGTCAAAAATATAACGCGCGCAGCTTAACCTCTCTACTTACGCTCCACCAACAACAGCAGTCGGCTTGCAAACACATGCATGCGCGTGCGCACACACACACACACGCACGCACGCACACACACAGACACACACACACACACACCTCTTTCACACGGAAAGAATCCAACTCACACTCTAAAGATTGATGTAGGCAACACCTGGCGCATGGATGAGGTCGTCCATGGTGTAATTGACCACAGCCATGACCGTGCTACTCGATGTGCCAAAGTATACCTGGGAACCAAAGCCGTGGGTGGCGACCTGCAGATACGGAGAGGACAAGAAGAAGAAAAAAACAATAGGAGCAACTTGCAGCACATGTTCACTCATACAGTTTGAAAGCCGGCCCTCTACAATGTCAAACCACTCCAAAACAATTTGAGTCACCGAGCGTTTCGTGACTTCACAGAACCAGACAGTTTGCAACGGCGTGTGTTGCGGAGTGCCCGCCGTCAAACGTGCACACCCTCTGTGGATGTTTGCTCGCTCTCGCGCTGGTTAATTTTCGCATTGCGCTCTTCCTGCGAGAACAGCGAACATCAGTGTAGCAACAACGTCGATGATGACGATGACGGCAACCAGAAATACAGTGCTGGCCAGAGAAATCCAACCTCATGAATAAAATAGCATTGCCAGGCATGCGCTACGCAGCCCTAGCACAACACATACTGGTCTGTGCACTCGAACGCGGCGCTACTTTATTCCTGAGGTTGGATTTCTCTGGCCAGCACTGAGTATCTGCAACAACCCGAGTGAAAAGCGCATTGCACAACCACGGTGCTGTCGGTTGCCGAAGAACTGGGGGGTCAGCCTCCTAGCCTAGACCGTTCTCATTTTCATGTGCTACAGTCTACGGGCAGTTGAGTCACCGTGTATACATTGGTATGCTGTGCTTGATGAAATTCCAGCCTGGCCGTTCTTCGGTGCTCCATTCTTCGGCGCCCGACAGCACTGTAGAACGTGGGCACAGACACAAGCAGCAACAGAGGCAGGCACATTCTCCACAAGAACTACACACAGAGAACCTGCACCGCTTTAGAGCACCTACACGCCCTTTGTAGTCCCCTATGTTCTCTTGCTGCTGTTGTTGTTCTCTTCCATTCTATGCAGGCAAGTGCACTTTCATAAAAAAATTGTCCCTTCTTTTTATCGAAAGGAAAATGACCAAAGAACTACAAGTTACGCTATAATGACCATTAACACCACCAGTTACTAAACAATCAGCTCCTATGTCATAGCGTAACTTGTAGTTCCCTGGTCCTTTTTCCCTTTCGATAAATTAATTTGTCCTTGGCTCTCCATCCGAGTCCTTTCTTTTTCTCCATCATAAAAAGTTTAAAATAATAAACCAGATCAAACCTTGAGATCTGCAGGAGACGTGGGCACTGGGATGTCGATGGGCGATCCCATGGCCTTTAAGTAGGGCCACGAGTACTTGATTACGTGCAGCTTGAACTCCCCACGGGCGTAAATACGCTGGAGGGCAACAACCGGGTGTGTTGTCAGCTTGCGATCCTGGTCGACCCAGTAGATGTATTGCTCGTAGAAGCTTCCGTTGAACGCTCCGTGTTCCTGTGTACGTGGTGGTACATGCACAAACACACGCACGCATGCATGCGCACATACACACACACACACACATGCATGCACTCGCGCACAAACGTATGCATACCCACAAGCACGCACATGTAAACACACACAGTCAAACATACACACACACACACACACACACACACACACATACACACACACACACACACACACACACACACACACCTTGCCTGGTGTACAGCTGCCAAATGCTTGGACACGCCACCCCCGAGACAGGAGAGAGTAGAAGAGAGAGTTCGAGAGAAGTCAGCACTGCCACTAGGAAGCCGCTCCGCCACGACGCCATCCACGATTGCAATTGTGTTGCCAGGAGCAGATTTAAAACAGCGATCACAGGTAGCGCAGTGCTGGTTGCAACACGGATGGCTGGTGATTGGTATGCGCTGGGGTGTGGGTGGCGATGCCGGGGTGGGTGTTGTGCACTTGTGCATAGCAAGTCCATCGGCACTTCGGAACCACCGAAGGCAGGCATGGCATTGACGTGCGTCCGGCTGTTCCGCTACAGGCAGCTGGCGATCAGCAGAACATTTGTGTCGTCCCAATCCAGATTTACTCTTGAATGTCCGTATACATACCAGGCAAGAGAGCGGTACCGGGGCAGGACACACACACACACACACACACACACGCACACCTGCTCACTGCCAAAACTGGTTACGTGGGTCTCCCCAAGAGAGGGGAGAGAGAGACTCAAAAGGCATCTTGGAAAGATGACTCAATTGGCTATTGAATCGGCCAACGGCCGACACCCCCTGAAATACCCAAACTTTGGGTGGACTTGAAAATGATCCCACTTATGGGTTCACCACATCTCAGTAAGTGGGTGAGGGCTAGGTGCAGAAAAAGCATACACATACCACACACACACACACACACACACACACACACACACACACACACACACACACACACACACACACACACACACATGCACACGCACACACACACACGCACACACACATACACACACACACACACAAACGCAACGGGTTTTTTTCTTTCCCTAGAGACACCTGCTTGCCACGATCTACACGCACTCACCTGCAAGTCTTCAGTTTGATCAGAGCTGGCACTGAGCGTGAGTCCGTTGTTAAGGAAGATACGGCTGTTGTCGTAACTGAACCAGGCAGAGTTTGGTGTGTAGTAATTCCCCCAGTTGGGAACTACCGAACGGAGAAAGTATGGACAGCTGGCAGTGAACGAGCAAAATCACGGGACAAAAAAACAGAAAATGATGAAAATGAATCAACAGAATGGGTTTGAATGAATGGGTACCCACTTCAGGATGGAGAGGCAGCTGCAAAATCAGGATGCGTTCAGTATAATGTTGTTGACTCAGTGCAGACATGCATCACTACCAGGTGTGACAGTGCTAGACACCGTCATAGTTCCGAGCCCAAGGTAATCCCGTCCCGGGATCCAACTGCATTCACTCCTGCCCCCAGTGAAGGCAATACAGTCGGCCTATCCTTATAACGATATAAGCGTCAGACCAAGAAATATTGTTATAAGGTTACTGGTTCATTTCATACATGTACGTCATAATGCATGAATTTGTAAAAATTTTTACACTTTTCAGGGCATAAATACTTGCGTACATGTGTGTTCTATGCACATTATGTGCACAAGAAGGCATCACTGCTGCCCCCATTGCATTTTGTCATGTCCCAGTGACTTATCAATTGAAACTTGCCCTACTTGGATAGTGGAGTCTACGTATTCCCCGCTAGATATTGTTATAAAAGGGAAAAATGCCGAGTGGTCAGCCCATTTTATATCGTTATAGGGGTACTAGGAGGGTAATAGGAGCACAGTACGTGTTCTTGCAGAATGGCACCTGAAGGTAAATCCGGATAAAACGGAATGGACACATGTTCTCCCGTGGTGCTGACAGGATTGCAGTGGCATGGCGTTCAGTGAAGAAGCTTGGTACCCTGCTGGGGGATGAAGAGGATATCAGTCGCCGTAAGCAGCTGGCATCTGCAGGATTCCGGTCGATGTACAGCCTATGGAAACGTCGTTCACATGTTTGAGAGCGCCTAAGACTGCACCCTTATAGAGCATTCATTCTACCCATCCTCACTTACAACTGCGATACGTGGGGTCTGACGGAGACCTGCTTCGATCAACTAGACTCATTTCATCGCCGCCAACTCCGGTCCCTTCTGGGCATCAAATGACCCCAAACCATCCGCAACGGGAAGCTATACGAGCGCTGCGGCGTTATCCCAACTCAGCAAAGAAATAAAGGAATCTCGGTGGCGTCTATTCGGCCACATACTGCGGCTTGGTGAGGACACGCCTGCAATGTTGGCAATCGAGCATTATTTCCGGCGAGAGGCTGACAGTGGCTGCCGGGGCCGCCTCCTAGTCACAGCCCAGGAACTGCAACGTGTCAGAGCCATTGCCGTAGATCGCACCCGCTGGAGGAAACTCACACGGAAGGTCTGTGACTGATTTGCGATGGTGCGCCATACCACTACAATTATCTGGACACTGGCGCATCATTAGGAATTTGACAAACGGGAATATTACGCTATTATTATTATCTTAAACAAATACTGAACCGTGACTTTCCACCCATCATTGTTGGCATCTCTCTGACCGACTTTTGGTGAACTGGAGAAAGATAACCATCGGATGCCACTTCTATTGTATGCAAGTTCACGTCATAGCATTTATTTGCTTATGCCGTCCGGCAACATGGTTTTTGTGGCTGCCCATTTGGCTTGCTGATCCACCCTGATATTATTTGTTCGTTCAGCATATGCGAACGCTTGGATTAATCCATGTCAACGCGAGAATGCATATTTTATAATTATTATTATTATTATAGGGGTAATATCGTTTTAGCATTATACAGGTAAAGCATTGTATACAAGTCAATGGAGTGATTTGGTTTGGCAGAAAAATATCGTTATAACGGCAATATCGTTTGTTTGTTTGAATTCTTTATTCTCACGATGCCACCATCGCCAATAAGAGATGGAGAGGCTATCGTAATAAGGGTAGCTCGACTGTACTTGCTACTAGTGTAGTGTGGGTGGCTAAACCAGAGTGGATGTGATAAAGGCTTCATTCGAACCATCGATTACACAAGAGTTAATCTAGCCAGAATTAGTCCATCTGTGAACAAGTAAGTGTGTTCTTTAAATAGAAAGTACCGTACAGGCAATATATGTTGCCGCGTAACGCGTAACGCAGGGGGGGGGTGCGGCCTAACGCGCGACCAGGCTAGTGCGACAAATTTTCGTTGCGTTCGTAACGCGCGTCCGGCGGGGTGCGGCGATCTTTTCATTGCAAAAAAGGCTGAAAACTGTGAAAGCACGTGTACCGCGTGGTGAAAAGTTCAAAACTGGACGCAGCAGGAAGTCCTGCAATAGCAAAAAAAGGACTGCGGCAATATAGAAACCTGTGTAACGGCTCCTGTGCGACTTTGCATCTAACGCCCTGCGTGCGGTAAACATGTGCCAATGTAACGCTTCATGGCCTCACTGCGACCATATAGATTGCCAGTACGGTATATGAACCGTGAACCAAAAAGGTGATGGCAGGTACAACATTACACCCCCGAGCAGCCGAGCCCGTTGGCAACAGAGCCAACACTATCTGGCATAAGTGTACCCACCAACCAAATTAGCCGGCATACACACACACACACACACACACACACACACACACACGCGCGCGCGCGCGCGAGCGCACGCACACGCACACACACACACACAAACACACACACACACAGAACACACATGTATACACACACACACACGTATACACAAACCATACATACCGAGGTGTGGCGATGGGAGACCGTGTAACATCGGGCACTCTATACTTGGCAATGTAGCCGGAAGACGTCAGGCCATAGACACACTTGCCATCGGAGGTACCCAATGTAGTAGTTGTGTACCCATAAGCACCAGCTGTGGATGGAGACACATAAAGGGGGATAAATTTGATAACCGAATTCAGATAGTGTGCCAACAGAATGACTTACTTGGGCCTTCAAAATGCGTCCTTGTGATGAATCACGGCATCTTCTTACTGCTTGAGATCTATTCAAGTTCCTTCGCCGTACTACACAACTTGTGGCACATTTATCAGTTTCTTTCCTCTGAGATTCCCAAGCTGTTGACGGCAGAACGTACATGTATTGTGTGTGGAGAGGGAGCCAGTGCTAGACTGTTGTTACTCACTCTCATCCTCCATATACCTGCTCCACGCACATACCGTATCTTCCGATCTGGGTGCGGTTTATACATGAGCCCCGGTCAGCGAAAACCGTCGCCTGTGTGTGATACCAAATTGATCAAAAAGTGACGTTTAAGTCGAGCGAAAGAAAGTCGCGGATCAAACCACTTCTCGTCACCTTTCTGTGTTTCATGTCACTCGTCCTTCTTTCCGCCTGACAAGTCCGTATTTGTGTGTTTGTTAGTGACTAGCTAGCTAGGCAAGCCCCAGGCAAGTGAGGAGACACGGCTGGGAAACCTCACGTGTCTGCGCTTGGCTGTGGAATAAGTATACGATCGCGGAGCGCGAACATCGAACGGGCATCGATGGTTGTTAACGCCGATCAGGACACAACATATTTTGGTGATGACTGAGCTGGCGATTTCTCACCAAGGGACTCAGGAGATAGACGCGGAGCTCCGGACGGCGACTCCCTCCTGCCGCGGAGCTCCGGAGGGCGACTCCCTCCTGCCGCGGAGCTCCGGACGGCGACACCCTCCTGCCGCGGAGCTCCGGAGGGCGCACTCCCCCCTGCCGCGGAGCTCCGGGGGCGACTCCCTCCTGCCACGGAGCTCCGGAGGGCGACTCCCTCCTACCGCAAAGCGACTCGGCGAGGCTGCAGACTTTGTGCAGAAGAAATGCATATTTTTGAGCAATGAACGACTCCCTCACTGGTAAGTTGTCGGATTTAGACAGTGATGATACGGATCAAAGGTGTCTCGATTCACGACTGGAAGAGCAACAACTGCTAGTGCAGGACAAGAACTGCTATGTTGGCTTGGACGCTGAGCGACTTGAAGCATTTATTTGGTCCATGCAGCAGCTCCCAAAAATTCAAAATATGAGCCAGCGCACGCGAAAATCGACATTAGTGACACGCACTTCAAACTGAGAAAACGCACTTCAAACATTCTCTGTTTTCGTGTGATGTGCAATATAATTATCAGGTAAAATGCTCTATCTTCTAAGACCCGTAACTCAAGTTTTACTCAAGATTTTTTCAAACATTTTTTGCATTGAATTCTGCATAAATCCATCTGCCTTTATCCACTGTCATCTCAGTTTCTGAAAATATGTCACTAAGGGTGATTTTCGCGTGTGCTGGCTCATATGTTCCTGTTGGGTCAGGAAACAATGTATCTGCACCTAGTACGTACCAGCCTGCGTGCCAAAGTGTGTGAGTGCAGTCACAGCCAACAATATGCTTGCACTCCGTGTGTGCAGATAAGCTGTCGTGGAAGTGAAGGGCTTTGAGAGCATCACTACGGTACAGAGCCTGGTGTGGATGCAGTATCAGTCGCTGGAGCTTGGCCATAGGCTCTTGGATCAGCTGTTACTGTAAAACCTGAAAGTCTAATGTTTTAACGACAAATTGATTTTCGTTATTTGAAAAAAACGTTATCGCTAGATGTCTGTGTGTAGATGCACATACAGATGGGTGGCCAGGTAGCCATCGTTAAACTTTCTGCTCGTAATCATGCCAAAATTACAAAAACGCAAAACCTTTTGGCCGTTAGACTTTCCGGTTTTACAGTAGTCAGTGGAGTCAATGAGTTACTTGGACAAGCAAGCATCTGAGTACACCCCAAACCAAAGACTAGAATGGCTGAACAGGATCAGACACATACCAACACTCAGACACATACCAACACCCATACACGCATCTTACATAGATGAGATGTCGTGTACCGCATTTTTTATCTACAGTTGCGCTCGCTGAAATCCGACCCAACGTGCAGACCTGGCGCCCTCAGCTTCCACGGCCCTTGGCGCCCTGGAAGTGGAATGAATTCAGCTGGACGTACACATGTACGCGTACAATGATGTAATCGGAACTCGTCCAGGGCGTCAGCTTTGCACTTTTGGTCGGATTTCAGTGAGCGCAACTGTACTTACAGCGGTGTGATTGATCTGAAATTTCTTTAGACTGGATATCAGTATTCGTGGATCAATTTGGTGCAAAAAATGTTTTAAAAATCTTGCACATGTGATGGTTTTTGCTGGTCCAGGCTCAAATGAACTTCAGTGCGGCATATGCTCTGGAAAATACGGCAATGCCGACACGTGCACACACACACACGTGCACACACGCGCACACACACACTCTCACACACACACTCACACACACACACCTTTGACGCCCCATCTCCAGTGGAGATGATAGGCTACTGAGTTGGGCAGTACTTGATGTGACGCTTCAAATCGCCACTTCTCCTAAACGCTCTGCCGCATGCGCAATGAAAGTCCTTCGGTGCCGGGGGAGGAAGACGATGTTGATGGACCCGCCTGCGCCATTCCGGGCGATCTTGTGCGAGCCGATACCACTCGGACTCCGGAATATCCAGCGAGCGCAGATCACCGACAATCGTGTCTCGCCAACGCTTCTTTGGCCCATGCCGTGGTCTGGTTGCCTCGAGCTCCCCGAACAACACTTGGCCCAGAATCTGCGAAAACCAGGCTTAGGGTGAAATTTCACAAAAATTTTCAGCTTCTACTGGGCATGGGAGGTCAGGAGACAAAATATTATTACAGGTGTGGGTCGACTCATAGTGGTATTAAAAGTATCTCAAACACACCAGGGTATTGTGTTAAAAAATCCACAAAAAAAAATTGTTATCACATGCACAGGAAAGAAATGAAGAGAGATCCACCAGAGTGAAGGAAGAGACATGGATGATTTTTGTTTAGCTAGGTGACATGACAAGGTAGGCATGTGGGATTGTGGGGGCAGGCTTGTTGTGGCCCCTTGGAGGCTTGGTGCTGCAGGCTGTAGTGGCCATGCACAGTTCTGCATGAATTTTGTTTGCCCCTCACTCAGCACATTCTGGGGCTGCATAGATGTGCTGGCATGCTCTGGCGCTACACACCACAAGGAGACCCGACTCCAGTTGAGATGGCACCTTTTGAAGGGTGAATCTAGTACAACTATTCAAAAACAAGCAAGAACACAGCCTTTCAAACTGTTCCACTGTTGGTAGTATGCGCATAGTGATAGTGTGCTGGCGTGCTGCAGTGTCTGCTTGGTGCTGACCAGCAAGTGAAATATCGGCACGCCGTACAATCCCTTGCAGCTCAGTAGCTGTCCAGCGAGGAAAGTCTCGAGTGGAGGCCTCTCGATCTGCTCGCTCATTCGCCTGGCATTCAGTAGCACTTCATCGCCAAGGACTTCAATTCAAAACAGTTTTCACACTGCGCTTCTAGCCTTTTTCCTCGTGAACTTGCTGCAAACGTATGAGCTCTGCTGCGCGTGTTCCCTTTGCGTGAGGCCCAGAAACAGCTAGTATCTCCATACTTCGATTGGGTGGGTCGATGCCATCCAGGTTCTCCTCGCTATCGCCATCACGACTCTAACTGGAGACGATTTCTTCACCATTTTCCGCAAGCAGCAGCTAGCGCAGAATTTTCGCCATCCCTGAGTGAGATGGAATCCGTTCGATCAGCTCAAAAACTCTTCGTTGTGACTAGAGGAGTAGCAGGGAATATTCTACCGGAAGCCCTTTGACTTCCCTGACTGCTGAAACCCTTCCTGCCATGACTGCTACTTCTTCAAACAAGCGAGATTCTCTTTGGTTCCACTTCACTGCACTCGAGCGTCCACGCGACACAACCGTTTTACAAAACATCATTTTTCTCAAAAAAATGATTTTCACCCTAAGCCTGGTTTTCGCAGAAGTTGGGCCACTTGTTGAGGAATCCGGGCCGCGTCCATACGGGAAACATGACCCAGCCAACGCAGACGGTACTCGCGCAGGAGAGTGCCAATGTCCTCAGGAAGACGCGCTCTCTGGGCTAGATCTGCAGTATTAAGATGACGGGAGTGCTGATCGCTCCTTGAGACTCCCAAGATGGAACGGACGCATGAGCGATAGCTTTACTTCTTTTTTTTACACACACACACACATACATACACACACTCCCTTCAAAGCACATTCTCCACCACCCCCTTACCTTGGTAGCACTTGGTAGCGTTCCCGTTAACCGGGTTCACACAGACGATCTCGCCGACATACCCCCCACCCTGCCGGAAATGGATCCAAGCGCACGTCTCATGTTCCTCCGTCAAATCCACCACCAGTCCGTCAACCGGTACATCAGCATAGGGGAAGTTCTCCGTCTGCAATGTTTCCGCCACGACATCAATAAACGTGATGTACGAGTTGTGAACCTGTGTAATGAATAGAAAAACCCAAAAATTACACGGACAAATTGAGATTGTTGTATTGCACTGTATTGATGTATTTGAATTCGGTATCTCAACAGTACAATGTACAACTTGGCAAGATCCGAATGACATAGATACAGCCAACTTCGCTTATAACGACTGCGGATATAACGACAATTCGCGAATAACGACAGAATTTCCATGCGCATATGCCCAGAGCAAAGTCCCATCCAACTGTGAAACATAATTATAATGAGACTTCGGGTATAACGACACTTTGCGAATAAGGACACTTTTCTGATGCCCCGCCGAGTGTCGTTATAAGCGAAGTTGACTGTACATAAACATAAAAGTGGAGTAGGTGCTACAGCTGATCATTTTATCGCAGGTTGTGGGACTAAACTAATACCAGTATGCAAGTACACAAGAAAAAAAGCTGAATAAATACGACTGCAGGGCATTGGAGAAAAGCACCAATTAAAGCAAAACAAAGCAATCTACTACGGTCCGACTTAACGATTAGGCTGTCACCACACTGCAGTACAAAGCGCTGCGTCTACGTCCACATAAGGAGTTTTTTGGTCGCTTGCAATGATAATCCATGTATGCATGGGGTGAAAACGTGTAATATTTATTTTTTTGCTTTGTTTTTGTTTACTGCCATGGCTGGCTACCCCCCCCCCCCCCCCTCTCCCTCCATATTGGCCTATATTTTCTGGCCACGGGAAGGTGAAATAAATAAAATAAAAAATCTAAACTGGAGCAGGGGAAGCATGATACCGTACAGTTGGGTATTATATGACTTTTTGGGGGAAGTTTTCCCTGCTTCTACATGTACACGAGACAGGCTTCTATACAAGGCATGTATTTCTATGTATGTCAACACTAAAACCAGGCTCATGTGCCGATAGAGTATCTTGAAAATCAGGCTTCTACTCAAAACAGGCTTCTATATTAGACAGGCTCTAATACAAGATACAACATTATGTAGACGACAGGGGGGGGGGGGGGGGGGGGTATACAACTAGAACGGATCGGAATGTGCGTATCTCTCCCAGTCATTTTCCAGGAAAACCGTGCACATGTACATCCGTTTCAATTTCCAAAATCCTCCAAAAACGGGACCATGCCTACAGCCAGGCAAGAGCTGAACCTGTGCGATCACACGAGCACAGGTTTGGGGATTTTCACCGTACATGTACACGGGAGTCAGTGGATGTAGTCTGAAGAGGGCCTTAGGGTTTCTGCAGACTATGCACATGGAACATCCAGTACAGAACAGAACAACAAGGACAATCAAGGCTTGTTTGCTGCTACTTCAAGTTTCATGCTCTCGCAATCATCAGGCAACAGTGCTGCCTGATGATTGCGAGAGCATGAAACTTCAAGTCGCAGCAAACAAGCCTTGATTGTCCTTGTTGTTCTGTTCTGTATTACGCTCTGCCTCCGCCATGGTGTTGAGCACTGTCAGCACACTGGGTACACCCTCCGCCATGGTGTTGAGCACTGTCAGCACACTGGGTACATGCTCCGCCGTGGTGTTGAGCACTGTCAGCACACTGGGTACACCCTCCGCCGTGGTGTTGAGCACTGTCAGCACACTGGGTACACCCTCCGCCGTGGTGTTGAGCACTGTCAGCACACTGGGTACACCCTCCGCCATGGTGTTGAGCACTGTCAGCACACTGGGTACACCCTCCGCCGTGGTGTTGAGCACTGTCAGCACACTGGGTACACCCTCCGCCATGGTGTTGAGCACTGTCAGCACACTGGGTACACCCTCCGCCGTGGTGTTGAGCACTGTCAGCACACTGGGTGCATCCTCCGGTAGAACATCCAGTACAAAATCACATAAAACCTAAAAGGCATAATTTCCCAAGCCTGCATTCAAACTACACATTTTACATGCAACATACATGTAGCCTTTGAGCCTGCGCAATTTTGTTTACTTTTGTTTACTATTATTCACAAACCCAGCTCGTAAAATAAATAATTATGTGGACAAAAACAAACAGGTACTGAGTAGGGGCTGCACTGGGCAGCAGTGATGGTGAGGTACCAGGGGCAATTGTGCAAGGGGATGCATGAAAGCAGGGAGTTGTACAAAGTTTGCACTCTTGTGCAACTGGCTGGTGAACGTGTGATAAAATTAATGCAGGAAAGTTACCTTGTACCTGCACATGGGTTCGCATCCTGCCTGAAAGGATTGGGCAGCTCTGTAGGCTTCCCGCCTTGTAGGGTGGATGGATGGACGCATGGATGGATGGATGGATGGATGCATGGACGGATGGATGGATGGATGCATGGACGGATGGATGCATGGATCGATGGATCGACGGATGGGCTCTAGTTGTAGTACTTGTAGTATTGACTATTTAAATAGGGGAACCCCCTACAGATGGTGTCATCTTATTACAGGGAACCCTATGAATGATTGTCACAATTGAACAAACTCTGAGCGAGAGGTAGGGGTTCGGCAGGCAGCAGGTAAAGTATTCCAGCGATTAGCAGCGAGAAAGGATATGGTATGAAGGCCATGCCTAGAACGCGCGACGGGAAGTGCGAGCATATGGCTAACTTGACCGCGTGTCTGCCGGTCAGTGTGGCTGGATGGATGAGGAGGGGGGGGGGGGGGGGGATCGAAGGATGCGCGGGTGGATAGATGGATGGATGGATGGATGGGTGGTTGGATGGATGGAAGAACGAATGCATGGAGAAGTGGTTGCTCTACAGAAAAAATATAAGGATGAGTTTGTTGGCAGACTGACATGCAAGTTACCCATGTGTAGATTGAGAGATGGAGAGTAGAACGGCATGGAAGCATAAAGCCATACGAAACGGGCTACAAAGGCAACAAAATTGACTTTCATCATTGAGGATTTTAGGAAATTAGAGGCCACATGCCACGCACTGCTCTTTTCTCTTGCCAGTATGATGCAAGCCAGATGTGGATTGATCGAAGAAGGATAGATTTACCATCACTGTGGATAAGAGCCATACTATAGCTCAGTTGGTTAGAGCATTGCTTGCGAATAGCAAGGTCCCTGGTTCGAGTCCCGGTGGTGTTACTGATGATTTTTTCTTTCTTTCATATCTGGCTTGCAAGTGTTGAGTTTCGGAGAGAAAAGAGCAGTACGTGGCATGTGGCCTCTAATTTCCTAAACACTTTGAAATCCTCTGTGAAGTCCTAATTTGAAATCATTGAGGATGATAGTCAAAATAGAATTGTTCTCTTTTAACCCTTTGAGACCCCAACGATCGAATTCGATCGTTTGGTATACAGTATACAAAATCATCGCCGAAGTCGCAACCACTACTTCGTATTGGTATACAGTGACACTAAAATAATTATATCTCTGGTATTCCTTCACCGATTTTCATAAACAAAGTATCTACGTTTCGAGAAGACCCTTGGCTATCACGTCGAAGTTATCGGAAGTCTCTAGGAGTTACGATGCCGTCGTGGTGAGACTCGAAGTCGGAGACAAACTGAAAAATGCACTCAGATCGAAAAATTCAATTTTTCACGCTGCACTTGGCAGGATATTTCCCTGGAATGGTATGTCATACTCAAGTATGCTGCACACCAATATTTTGCGCTTGAAACGAGCTTTCCGCTGTCGTTTGTTTCAAGTCGATGCGATGAAGGAGAATGGAATGGCGGCTGTTTGAACTTTGCTGAAGCTGTTCGCGCACGGCTGCTGTTTGGGGCGGCATTATAGGCCACGCAGAGCAGAGGCTGTGCAAGTAGTTGGCTTGAGTGTGGTACTATTCTCTTCGTCTTGGAAATATCTTTCCAACGGTGGTTAGTTGTAAAAATCAGTGAATGTTTCATAGAGATACGAGCGAAAGTGCATGTTATTTGAAGGTGTGTAAATTGTCGTACTTTCAGTGGGGTCTCAAAGGGTTAAACACAAAACCAACGTAATAGGGGTGAAGCATCCTGCAGCTTCATGATACAGTCAACTGAGTTGTGAATTTGCAGTGACCACGGAAAGAGCACGTATGCTCAACATTTCTCTTTGAACGTAAAACATACAACTTTTCAAACAGTTTTCCATTTCCATGAAGAAAACTCCTTATCCACATCAGAATCACCAGGGTTTTACTTACAACGGATACGTAACGGCCGGTCTTCCCAATGCTGATTCTGTAGCCGGGAATGGGCATAGGGTAGGTCTTAGCAACCGTCCGAGTCGCTAGGTCAAGTTCATCCACGGCTGCAATTCATGCCAAGCACAGCATATAGCCAACTGTCAATGGAAGGGTGAACAACCATCAGAAGCCTCTTATATGAGCAATCACAAAGGATATCATCGCTGGCGTAATAGCTAACGAAAAAGCAAACTATAATATTATGATACGCTCATACCTCGGTTATCCGGACCCCAAAGTTACGGTCACTTCGGTCTACAGCCTAGGGCACTCTTTGGGCGAGTTTAAGAGGAAATATTACTACTCTTTTGTCACTTTTAGGTGAAATGGTGACGTCATATGCCATATCTGTGGCCTTTCCCCATCAAAATGTATCTATGTAATTCGGTGTTACGGACGTTTCAAATTCATTAAAATTTGTTTCGTTGAACGGTGGGTCAGGTTTGTGCACCACTTGACGCTAAAATAATTTTCAACAAAATAATTATTATGTAGTCTTAGCTCCAGCGCCCCAACTGATTTCCAACATGGCAATAGCTCGACGCTACATTCCGAGAGCGAGCGGTGCAGCGGTGCATGCCTAGCACCGCAAGCACGCCGCACTTACCGAGACCACCCGGATGCAACGCCAGCAGGCGGTCCTTGATCGGTGAATACGCATAGCTGGTGTAGTTGACGCTCAGCAGCCACACAGTATCCAGCTGCGGCTCGACTGGTGATCCGCAGGCTAGCGCCAGCATGCCCAACGCGACGAGTATTTGAATCGACGCCATATCCGTCTTCCAAAGAACACAGCTAGCTATCCTCTGTTGCCAATGGCAATGGACGGATGCTCGGGGAGCAAATAATTGTGAAAGAAATACGATTACACGGTTCTTCTGGAGCTTTTCAAAGAATGTTTTGGTTCTTTATTTTGCTTACGAGCAAGAGCAGCGTTGATCCCGTGATCTAGTAGTGCCTGTCACCAGGTCACTCATGCCTTTCCCCAGTTTTACCATGATTTGCCGGTATGCTGGCTTGCACTGTTGCAGATATATCTGGACCGTGAACCATGGTGAACAGAGCGGCGAAGTCGAAGGTCGACTTCTCGTGCCATGTCATGTCACCAGGTCACTACTTTCAAGTGCAAGTGCTTGAACAAAAGTCAGCTGATCACAAGAAGATGACTAGTATTCGATACACGTGACTCTCCAGCGTCACGTGTGTCCCTGAAACAACTACAATATCCTGGTCATACAGACAGTACAACAATGACACCGCTACATGAGTGTAGATCTACACTACACTAGTTGCACTGCCTAACTAACGCCTATCTAGCTACATGACATGTAGATAGGCGTTAGTTCAGCTCAGTGCTGTACATTGTCATTGCACAGCACTGAGCTGAACGTCATCACTAGCCCTTTCACAACGATGCCATAGCGGCATAGGTTTTAACTGTTACTTTTGCTTTTCGCAACCGTGCCAAAGCAAGTGCTAGTTGCTGAAATCGCATCCATATTTTCAGAAAAAGCTCAAAAGTTGCTAATATCGCAACTCAAAATTGGAGAGTTCTTGTGCAAAAACCAGCAAAAAAAAAACAGAATAGTAGCAGAAGTGCAGCGATAGCAAACTCGTACACCCCTTCCCGCTGTAAAGCACCACTTTACGCAGTGCCAGTAGCCGGTTGCATGTATCCTACATCACTCCAGTGAACGGAAAAGGGAATGCACATTCAATATCGTAAGTTCGTAACTGCCGTTGATCTACTGTTTCTCTGAAATGAGTCTGAAGGCTTGCGAGAAATGAGCGAGTATGTATTTGTCCAACATGTACAAATGTACACTGTACATGTACATGTACATGTACATGTAGTTCGTGACACGACCTTTTGAATACTGTAAATATACAAATTTTTGGCAGCTATATAATTTCGGCTATATTCGGCACCGACCCAAAACGCCTAAATTAAAACGCCGATGAAATTTTTCACAGCATCTGTCGCACTATACCATGCCCTCTACTCCACGCCGAAAATAAATCGCCGCCGAAATGTCAAAAATCGTGAAGTGCCGAAATTTTGCAGCGCCGAAATTTTGTATATTTACAGTAACTAAGATGACATCATCATCGTTCTACTCGTGTAACAGTTGCTATTGAACATGTAATTTTTTATGCAAGACACAGGACAGTAATGTTCCCCTCGTCTACTGTTCGTTCGTACTATTACTGTTAGGCCTTGACAGATTATGCTAGCATAATTTTTCGCATAATTCCTACCAAAATCGAATAATCGCATAATTCGAGGCAAATTGCATACGAATCGCATAAAATTGGACTAATCCGCCTGTTCGCATCAAATTCCATACAGTTGTACAAGTTCTACAAGAACAAGTAGACGCACCAGGAAGGCGTAGGTTTACGACTCCCTTGATAACATGTCCAGTCCACTACAATCAGTGACCCGGGTGACGGTCGTAGCTAGGTCGGACCATGATTGTATTGCATTCATGAATTCGCAATAATTGACGGTATTCGCATGCACAGCGTACATTAGGCAGCGGCGGATTATGCCGGCATAATTATTGGCACAATTTGGTGGTTGAAATTTGGAGCATAATTTCATCCTTTCGGAGGTAGGAGCATAACTACATCGGATTGTACTACAGTTCTACATGTACATGTATATAGGCTGCACAATTGGTACAATCAAGAGTACATAAACCGGTTTATGTACTCTTGGTACAATGCACATGATTAGTGCTGGTGGTCTGCATGGTAAAGGGTTCGGAGGTCATGCAGATCGTGTTTTCAATGAAAAGTAGGGTAGAAATGGTGGCAATACATTATTGTAAGCTCGAACTCGTCTTCTTCAAAGTTCTTTCTCACACTGGTACAGTACATGTAGCAGAAGATGCGAGTGAATCAGTCTTGGTCAGGTATCCCGGGGCGAACGAGATAGTGACGGGTAGTCCGCAAAAACATGTACATGTACATTACGCATGTCACGAAGTCATGACCTCTGGATTTTAGCAGCCATGATTGCGCATGCTATGGATATTGTTCTAATAATTAAACAAATTGAGGTAAAGTTGATGTTCGGTCATGATAGAAGTAGAGGTGGAGCTGCGGGAGAGATGAGCTGATCAATCGCAGGGTGAGGTTGACATCGGTTGGACGAGTATGACGATTGTGAAGACAATTGAACCGTGATGATAATTTTCAAAGGTACCAGTAACTCAAACTATTTTGGCAATGAAAAAATCTTTTTACAAAAGAAGTCAACTGATGAATAGAAGAAGTAATGTTTTCTCTTTTCCATGTTGATCTCTAGCATGCCGGCATGGACACCTTGGTATGGGGTTACTCATGTATTTTGTTGTACTTATGGCCACCTGCAAGTACGAAAAGGCACAATTTTCCGAACTTTGAGGCTCCATAAGTACAACAAAGCGGATTAGGCCTTGACGGATTATGCTAATATTTTCGTGAAATTATGCTTTTCGCATTGCTGAAAAAATTGCAGAATTATACTATTTTTATACTAAAAGTTATACATGTACATATTATGCCGCACTACGCTCACATATGCTGCTAATGTACATGTATATGATGGTTCTGTGCAAAATAACAGGGAATTTTTTTGTAGAGGGCGCTGTACTGTAGTAGCAAAAGTTCAACGGGGTCAACGCACCGTCCGACCTAGCTACGACCGTCACTGATTGTAGTGGACTGGACATGTTATTAAGGGAGTCGTAAACCTATGACTTCCTGGTGCATCAACTTGTACTTGTACTTGTAGAACATGTACAAGTGTATGGAATTTGATGCGAACAGGCGGATTAGTCCAATTTTTGCGATTCGTATGCAATTTGCCTCGAATTATGCGACTATTCGATTTTGGTAGGAATTATGCGAAAAATTATGCTAGCATAATCCGTCAAGGCCTGTATCCCCGCGTGCCAAAGCATAATACGAGGATTTTGCGAACATAATGCGAGAATCCATGAAAGCATAATTCCATGATTTCGCGAGCATAATCCGCCGGAGCCTAGCGTACATCTAACTCGTGAGACATCGTAAAGCTTTTATTAACAAAATTCGCACCTTTTTTCATTCGCACCTTTTAGATTTGCACCATGATGCTGTCATTTACACTTAGTCTTTGCTTTGCGGGTATATAAACCAGTACTGATCCAGATTTACTCATTGCTATTTTCTGATGATCGCTTAGTGTTTGAAACTCAGAGTTAAAACACTGTTTCATCCTCTTATTAATTTTTATAGCAATGAAAAATATCAATTGTGCACTCATAACCATGTATAAACAATTAAAATGAAACAATTCCAGAACGTTTTCGTGTGACCATCATCAGTGGAACATCGTCACATAGTAAGAATCACTAAACCAACCAGTTATATAGCTAGAGTAATATGAAAAGAAGCGTGAGAATGCAGCACAGTTAGCGGTTATGCATAACGCGTGTAGTGTGAACCTTTGCAGTGTATCTGAGAATGGTAGCAGTAGATGAATGTGGCAGCTGTGAGTGCGTGTGAACAAAAACTGGTGAGTGCGTATTATTTAAAAAGTGCTACCATTCTCAGCTACCATTCTCAGATACACTGCAAAGGTTCACACTACACGCGTTATGCATAATCGCTAGCTGTGCTGCATTCTCACGCTTCTTTTCATATTCCTCTAGCTAAATAACTGGTTGTTTTAGTGATTCTTACTATGTGACGATGTTCCACTGATGATGGTCACACGAAAACGTTCTAGAATTGTTTCATTTTAATTGTTTATACTTGGATATGAGTGCACAATTGATATTTTCATTGCTATTTTACGACTGTTGTCTCCTCGTCGGTTATTAATTTTTAATTTATTGTTTAAAGTTTTTGAAGTTTTGATATGTTGTTTCAACGCTCAATTCACAGTGCGCAGAGTTCAACGGGTTGCTGATACTGATAACATGTACGAGAGCATGTGGGGTGGAGGCAATGCTGTCCGCTTGCCGTCCTTGTTGCGCAGATATTTTGGCCTCGTAGTCCCCAGATTTCACACTGGAAATTCCTGCCTCCTTCAAGAACTTTGTCACGCATGACCCACTCTCTTGTACATGTACAGGTAGTTGTGCATGAGATTGAGAATTCATACATGCGCTAGACAGTAACAGTCCGAACGCACAGTAGGCGAGGGGAAACATGACTGTCTTTTACCTTGCATTCACTCGTGTCACTCGAGAAAAAAGATGTTCAGCTCTCCCAACCACATTTTACTAGAGCTTTACACGAGCACAGCCTCTACGCAAATGACCTCGAATCGTTAGTTCATGCTCAGACGTACAATTACTGTTTTCAGCTCGTAGGCCCATCGTACCCAGCACTTGAACGGATCTAATGTCGCACGCATGTCCAAGAAAATTCTAGCAATGCCGACAGCGCTACAGACATTAGAACGATAGGACTGTCGTAGACAATAGTCCAGCAACATTATTAACCGCGGTCAGAGAGGCTAGGTCAAACAGATCAGTGCAACACATACACAGAACTACATGTACATCAAGCACAAAAGAAAAAGGAAAGAATGAAAAAGACGCGCCAATTGAGAGTTGAGAATTGCGGGTACGTACCGATGTGGTGAGGAAATAGCGGGTCAGAGACACTCCGTATACTGGACTGCGAAGCGTGAATACACGTGTGTTTTAAAAGGTGTCATGCTGTGCATGGTGTAATGGCGGATTGAGCATGTAGCGGTTAGAAAACACTCTGTCTACTGGTGTTCGCGTAGCAATGGACCATTGACCTGCAATGTGGCAGGGTCGTTTAAACTGACATACATGTACTGAAGTACATGTGATGATAGTGCAAAACTGGCATACGTGTACTGACGGTGCTATTATAAACGG